ATTTCAGTTTGGAAATCCAACTCAACACTATTTGTCGTCTTAATTGTATTTTTGGCTTGTCACGTAGGCAATAGACGTTAAATTAAAAAAAAATTAATAGATTCAAACACTTGATTGTAAAAGTTTTTCTTTGTAACAACAAAATAGAATTTATTGTGAACTTCAAAAACTAAATTTCTGATTAACCCTTGTTAATCTAATCCTTTTCTCCTTATTAAATCAAATTCTTTTTCATTACTTATGTATGAAACTGCTGACAATACGTCAATATTAAAAAATTGGTCCCAATTATTGACATTTCTTACAATAGGGAAATTAAATGGAGTATATACTTTTGTATTTAAGAATTTAAAAAACAAGAGGGCTGCTAAAGTTAGTATATTATATATGCAAATTGGTTGGGGAGCTGGCAATTGATGTGAGGATAACAATAAATGTAGTTTAATTGGGATTCGGCAATGTGGGTGGTGGTGGGGAAATTTTATTGATTGTGATTTGTTATTCAATTTTGCCAGATAACAGAAAAAAATGCAAGTTTGTCCTGTACAAGAACATTCCCTTCAGGTGAACCCAGAACCACTAGCTTCTCACTATATTCCCTTACTTTGGCTTTGCCACTTACCTGACTGACATTAATTGTTCTTGCAATCTCTGCCACAGGCTTATTTTTCAATCCTTCTCAATTTTTCTGGGTTATTTTTGTCATAATAGGAAAATTTTAGTAATTACTATTTAAAAACAGAAAAATATCGTATTAATTAAGTGTGATATGACTAATTTGATTCACCGTCAGCGTACAAGGACTGTATTTATTAAATTAAAATTTGTTAGAAGTAGCAAAAGAAACCATTGCTTTTGGCACAGGGGAAGTGAAATGTAGTTTCCAACGGTTCCTGAACAAGTACAATCATGAGATGGATGAGAGATCTGCGGGCAACAAGAGGAAATTTGAAATGTGTTCTCCACGGTAATTTTTTAAATAACTTTTAGCATATTGATCGATTAATATGCGAAATGTTATTTTTACAATATTTAATAATATTGTGTTTAAATTAACTTTTTAAGTTTAACGTAACGTTTTATAAAAAATTAACTCATGTAACGTTTAGTTTTTAACATTTTATGAAAAAATTATTCAAATAATTAATAGCTAAACGTTACTAAAATAACTAATAGCTAAATTTACTAAATAGACCATTGGTTGGTTGCCAACTAGAAAAAATGAGTTGATTTGCTAAGAAGGGAAAAGAATAAAATAAAAGGTCCCAACGGATAAATATACCTTATACTTTACAAAGAAAATCTCTTGCACTTTCAACTTTTATTTTAATATATTGAACGCTTTAACTTATAAATTGTATCTATTAAATATTTGAGTTTGTAAAATTTTTCTATTTAACATTTCAATTTGTAAAATTTAATAATTAAACACTTATTAAATATTTAAAAAATAATAATCACACATAATATTTTACATATAAAAACTAAAATAACCAAAAAACTAATATTGCACATATATTGAGGTGTACAATGCTATTAAAATCATACCTTTAAAGGAATAATAAATCCTTGTAAGATTGGAAGTACAAGGAGATTTTTCCTTATAAAAATATAAGGTTAAATTCATGTATTTATCTCAAAAAAAAAAAAGAAAAAATTCCACGAGATGGATAAGGTAAATCACATGGTATTGAATTTTTAGTTTGTTTTTCCTTCCAGTTTTCTTTTTTATTTAAACATTTTATTATTATTTATTGGTCAAACATATATATATTATTTATATATATTTATTGGTCAACCTTTTTGAAAAGATAAGTCTAGTCAAGTATAATTATCCATAATTCATTAATTAGTGTATTTGCCTGCTGTCTGTTGATGTGAATGCCCTTTTCATTTTTCTAATAATTTAAAACTAAAAACATTTAGATTAAGTCAAAAGACACTTATCATGCCTTTAGAATCCAAGATTTCATGAATATTATATACTTTTTCCACGCTAAAAACAACAACAGTAACTTTTTAATTTTTATATATAAAATAATAATTTTTATGTGTCGATATAATTTTTGAAATAATAATTTTTACATTATTATTTATATTTAATCGATATGATTTTAGAAGTTACGCAGTTAACTTTAGCCAAAGTTATCCAATATTAAAAATATATAGTAAGTGAATCAAAATTTGAATTAAAATGAATGGTTGAATCCAATCAAATTAATTTTTACATGTTTTCCTTTTTTTCTTCTTAGAATTAAAAACTTAAACATGAGATTTTCACTTCAAATTCATAGATGACCAATTTTAATTCTGTGCATGAACTTATTGTAAATGTTTCCTTTAAATGACTTATCTATTTTTTTTTTTTTAAATCGAACGTAATTAGAATATGATATTTTGAACTCAAATAATTCATATTTGGATCTAATAAAATAAATCAATTCATTAATATTTCTTTTTAAGGATACGTCTATATGGCTCGAGATTTTCGACAGACGGAAAATAATAAAAAATAATAAAAATTACATTGAAGTTTATATTATAATGTTTAAACCATATAATACTATATCCTATGCCTAAAATCTTAAAATTTAAACTCTAAACCCTAACGAAACCTTAAAAACCTAAAATCTTAAACTCTAATTTTGATATGCTAAAATCCTAAACTATAAAATTCTAAAGGTTAAACCCTAAGTAGTAAATCTTTAAGATTTGTCCGGCAAAATTAGCTGTTTTAGTAGTTTATAGTTATTTTAATAGCGTTTAGTTATTAGTTGTTTGACTAACTTTTCACAAAATCTAAAAGCTAAACGTTATATAAATTAACTTTTTATAAAATTCTATCTTAACCTCCAAAAGTTAGTTCGAATGCCATGTTACCGAATATGACATATTCGACAATTTTAGCGGTTTCAGTAGTTGTTAACTATTATAATAGATGTCAGTTGTTTTATTAGAGTTAGTGGTTAAATTTTAATTATTAATGGTTAGTTATTTATATAGCAGTTTAAAATAAGAGAGTTTGATAAAGTCAATGTTTGATTAGCGGTTTAATATAAAAAGACAAAAAAGATAAAAACACAGGAATACGACAAAGATAAATGAAAGGCATTGAGGGTTATAAAAAACTTGTAAAACGCTATAGGTTATAAGGATAACGTAACACTACTCAAATTCTAAAATTATAATAAATGTGATATTACCGAATATGATAATTAATTAAAATAATATTTTTGATGTAATCAAAACACCAAACACTATTCTAAACTTTGTTACCAAACAGAGCATGTAAAAAATAACATTTAGCGTTTTAACTTAAAATATTATTGCCGAACACGGTCTTAAATTCCAAAATTCTAAAATTCTAAATTTTTATTATTTTTAAGAGAAGCGGAGGTAGACTATTTCTTAATTTTACGAGCTTTTCTAATTGAGATTGTTTTGATTTTCATAAAAAATAAAAAGGATCTCAAGTCATATCATATGAGTTAGGTGTTAAGAAATTCCCACCACAACAATTCACAGGCACACGCATTGCCCTGCACATGCATAATTGAACCACAGCTTTTTATAACCCTTGGATCATAATCATTAAAACAGCTTTGGATTCGTTTTTCCAAGTCAATATTACAAATATTTCACTCTTCCTATATTCAAAGCATACGAGGAATTAGGTTTGAATTTGTCTCCAACTCTATTCTGCTTCCTAATTCCCTATCTTTCCAATTTCCATTGCAGCCCAACAACTTTCTTCAATCTCTTCACTACTACTCTAATCTTTATTGAATCTTATATTATCCTTTATAATTGTTTAAAATTATTTTCTAATAATATCAACTCATAATATTAAATTAAAATTAAATAAACTTTTAAATTTTAGGAGCTAAAATACGATTTAATTTAAAATAATAAAGATATTAAAGTATAACGGAATTAACTTTTACATGTTTTAAAGAAGCATTGTCAACCAAGTGTGGTCTGATTGATTAGTCTTTCTACTTATATTAGTGAGAAGTCTTGAGTTGGAATCTTATCTACTCTAGTAATTTTCTCAAATTTGATGAGTCAATGTGAGCTCATATTGTAATTTCAAATTATTGATCCTCTAACGAATAAAAAAAAATTATTTCGCTTTTTCATTCAAGAGGAGTACTTTTTTTATAATAAATATGCAATACGAAATAAATGTTTTTTTATAACCCATATATTATAACATGGGTGGATTTTGAATCAACCTGCCATGGCCTCATAATTCCAATAATATGTTTATAAATTAATTCGTTATAAATGCATTTCTACTGCACAGCATAACATCAAAAACAATTATTTAAAAGTCAACTTCAAAGAAATTGATTGCGCATATAATTTTATAAGACTAAATAATATTATTCAGTTTATTGAACTCTAATAAGGGTGAGCAAAATTTAGTTAAAATTGAAAGATTGATCAGCACCTACTCATTCAAACATTTGAATATTAATAAAATATAATTTTAGTTTAAAATTTAGATAATTTCGATTTTAGTTATATAATATACGTGATTTTTGTTCAAAATCAATTGAAATCAATCAAATCGATGAATTTAGTTTAATTCCGAAAGAAATTCACTGTACTTCCAATTTAAGAAAAGAAGAAAGTTCAGTTTCGATTTAAAGTTTAATTCGGAATCGAACTGACCCTTTGCATACCTCTGCTTATTACTGATGCAACCAACCATATCTAAATACCAAATACATAGAGTGGATTTTATAGTTCATACACAGGGGCCACCATGAAGGAGAGTGACGGTGACACTATTAGGAGCATCCTGCGATTTCATAAGAATCAGTGGGCGAAAACTGTTAACAAATAAAACTAAAAGGGTATCAAAGCAAAAAGTCAACAAAAAACAATAACAGTGAAGGCGTTAGTTTTCCTCATTTGTCTAACGTCAGATCTCCGTCAGTCAAAAACCATCCAACGATGAAAAATCTATAATCACTTCTCCACGATTTTCTAGTTAACAATCACATCTTAGCAACGACACTCTTCTCCTCTTAACAACCTGCACCAGTTTACTGCACACCGCCCAGCTCAAAAGCAGCTTCTTCTTCTCCTCCTCCTACTCCTCCTCCATTTTCTCTCTACACGCTGCCACTGTAATTCTCCGAGAGTAATAATAAGGAAATTATAATTTATGTATTTAAAAAATACAAAAATTAAGAAAAAGCAAAAGCAAAGTATATATTACAGCTGACACCACACACCCGCACGAAGTCTACTTTCTCCCCCTATTTTTCTGCTCGTTTCCCGATGATAACCACCAACCACCTCCGGTAGTAACGCCTTCTTCCGCTCCGTTCATGGCCACCGCTGTGGCGCAAAGCGATGTCGTTTCGCAAACCTTCCGCGCACTGGTGGAGAACGCGGACCGTAAGTTTGCTCGAGTCCGTGACCTTCCGCCGTACGGACACTCACAAAATCACTACTTTCAGAAGGTATTTAAGGCTTACATGCGGCTATGGAAGTATCAGCAAGAGAATAGGTCGAAGCTGGTCGAGGCAGGTCTTAACCGGTGGGAAATAGGCGAGATCGCTAGCCGGATCGGGCAGCTTTATTTTAATCAGTATATGAGGACTAGTCAAGCGAGGTTTTTGGTTGAAGCGTATGTGTTCTATGAAGCGATTTTGCATCGAAGGTACTTCGAAGGAGCTAAAACTAAGGATCTCGGAGTGAGATTTAAGGAATTGAGATTTTACGCGCGGTTTTTGCTTGTTTCTCTGATTTTGAACCGGACCGAGATGGTTCAATTGCTTGTCGACAAGTTTAGAGCCCTGGTTGATGATAGCAAGTTAAATTTCCGGGTAATTTCAATTTTAATTTTTTTAAAAATCTTTTTTTGCAAAATGTGTATGCTTATTTTGGCTCGAATTGTTTGTCCCTTTAGGTCTTTCTTTGTTTTGGTGGTGTATTATTTATTTATTTCTTTTCTTTTTGTATAAGGCTAAATGTTTTTGGCGTTGAAGTTCAATTTTAGATCATTTAATAGCTTTTTGTTCGCGCTGGTTGTTTTTAGCAAGCTTAGACATGCAGATGAGGGAAATTTTTGGAATTGGAGATGGTGATAGCTTTTCCGTGAGGGTTGATGTCTGGGTTTATAGTAGGCTTTGCATAATAGCAGTCTTCCATGTGGTCTTTATAGAATTTGTGAAATTGAATTAAATTTGAGGCTTTTTTCATGAAATTCGGTATTTGTTCTCCTGAGGAAGCATTTGTGAATTTTTGATTGTAAATCTGCTGCTTTATTTCTAGTAAATGGTTCAAACTTGATAAAAATAGTTCACACGTTTCTTTCGGTTACCTGGAAAATTACAACCCCATAACTTTTGCTACAGAAAAAGATCCTAGAGTTCTTGTCAAAAAATTAAGTTGGCTAATTGGCTTCTTTCTTTGGTCTTCTGGGTAGATTAAAACCATGGTCCAGAAACTATTTTACCTTTTCGGCTTTTCCATAAACACAATTGGAATAGTGCTAAGGAGGTCTAGAAGTTACAGGGCATAGTTAGTTTCATCATTTGTTCTCTGAGTGAAGATATTACCGGGTTATGCAAACCAATATTATATAGATCCATCAAGTAGGTATTCTAGGAACTGCAAGTTAGATATGACATTTAGACTTTTATTCAGTCCAAGGTGGCTGAATTTGATTTAAGATTGCAGTTAGTATGTGTGATTAATATGGCATTATATGTCATAGGAAAGGATAGTTGATTCATAACACTTTATCTGTGGCTGTGGCCATCAACTTACAAATATCCAATTTTGAACTTGGGATACATGTGATCCACATTGTACGTCATAGGAAAGGAAAGTTGATTCATAACACTTTATCTATGGCTGTGGCCACCCACTCAGTTTTGAACTTAGGATACTTGTGATCCATTAGGATGCTGAGATAATTAATGTTTTAAACAGCATTAAAGTTTACGGTGGGAGTGAAGTTATCTGTCTCTTCATGAATAAGAATAGCAATTTTTAGAACCAACTGTTATGGTATCGGGTAACTCTCTCATACTTTTAATCCACCCTGATATGTTTGGAAGTGTGGTAACTGACTCTTCATGGAGAGACATCTCCTTTTGGTAGACAGCTGTGCTATTTGGTAGCAGCTGAAGCCTGGATGCTTTTTTGGGTATGCTGTTAGTGGAAATACAGCAGGTCTACTGTGAATTGAATTGGGAGGGAAAATCTCAAAGCTGCAAATTCTATGCTTAGAGCCAGTGAAGATTATGCCCTATTTTTACATTGTTGCAGTTATGCAAATCCTATAGTTGATCTGTTCTCTGGCTTTTATGTTTGCCATGTGAGAGAGCAGCTAACGGGATCAGTTCTTGAGCTAACACTAATGGGAAAAGCTTTAGAGTTCGAACATATATGATGTATGGATGTCTCAGACACTTCCATTGTTTTGGATGTAACGAAATATTTGTTTCTTAGTGAAAGGCCCTGATTTAGTTGAGTTGTCTGGACTGGTGGGTGACTGGCTAGCCATGTGATTGTCATGTCGGATGGATGAGGGATTGAAAATTTTATTGTACTCCACTTTATAATTTGCCAGGTTCGGATAGTTGGATACAACAATAGCAACAATAATAACAATGAAGCCTTAATCCAAAGTAGCTGGAGTCAATCCTTTGTTTCCATTTCACTCGATTCATAGCTAAGTCTGCACTAATGTCAAGAAGCCGTAAATCTTTTGAGACAGGATGGTCAGGATAATGTATAAAATAAATATTGCTCTCCATCCTATTGAATGACAAAAGATTGCTGTCAATACCATAAATAATATTTAGTGTCTTTTCTTTTCTGATTGTTTATGGAACCCTTAACTTGAGCAATCTAAAAATTTTTAAGTGCAAGGTAGCCAAAGTAATTCAGGAAATTTCAAATTTATTTGAAAAAATTCCTTTTTATTCACTTGTAATGGCCACTAACAGTGGAGTCCCATCATTACTGACAGGACACTAGACAAATTTTGAACTTGGAGTTCCTTAAACCTGTCATATCTCTGCGTGCTTAAGATTAATACTTTTGTATTTTATTGCTCTTAAGAGCAACTTACTGTATATGACTTTCTGCTGGTACTTGGTACTAGTGTAATCAAGGGTTTCTTAACTGTTATTTTCTCAGGAAACAAATTTCAAAGAGTGGAAACTTGTAGTACAAGAAATTCTCCACTTTATGGAAGTTGATACTGCCTTTTCAAATGTCCGACCTTTGCGTTATTGTGTTCTGTTTGATTCACATCCAACTTCTCGTCCTTATGTGGCCCGTTTCCATGCAAGGAAGGTCCTCAAGTTTAAAGATGCAATCCTCACAAGCTATCACCGGAATGAGGTGAAAAGCTTTTAATGCTCGTGTCTTTTGGATTTCAACACAGATTTTCTGTGCAAAGAAAATCCTTGACATCTGTTATCTATTTGTACAGGTTAAATTTGCAGAAATTACTCTGGACTCTTATAGAATGCTGCAGTGTTTGGAATGGGAGCCAAGCGGATCTATGTACCAAAAGCGTCCAGTTGAATCAGTCTACCAAAAACGTCCAGTTGATTCATATGAGAATGGCAATGCAACTGATCATTCTGGAGCTTCTGGACTAATAGATATAAACTTGGCTGCTGATTTGACTGATCCAACTTTACCACCAAATCCTAGGAAAGCTGTTCTTTATCGTCCTTCTGTGACACATTTGTTAGCGGTTAGTGTTGCTAAAGTTACTGTGACTTTTGTGGGACAGTAACCAGACTTCACGTATCATTAATGAAAATCTTCATGATCTCTCCCTTAATGCAACATGTAGCTTAAAGTCACTTTATTTTCGCCGAGGCATATTGTTATCCTGTTATAGTCAACTTTATGAAGATGCTTTACTTCTCATGTAAAGAAGCAGTTTAAATCAATTGCAGTCTGTTAATGAAGTATCAGTTAGTCAATTATCTCAATTAGCAAATCCTAGCACAAGTTAATACTATATAAAATGAATATATAGACTCATTGAGAATCAGCAGCTAGTGCTAATATTACTTTATTTATGCCCTTTTTTAATAGACTTAAGATGATTAAACTTAATCTTTGATCATATTATTTGTGGGCAGGTTATGGCAACAATTTGTGAGGAGCTCCCTGCAGAAAGCATTATGCTAATATATCTATCAGCCTCAGGTTAGTTTTACCTCCATATTGCTACTGGAATGCAACTGATCGTGTCCATATTAATGACCTAAATGAATCTTTCCAAAACTGCACTTTCTTCTTTCTTCTCTCATGGTGCTGGTTGAGGTATACCCTAAGCTTTTCTAGTTAGAGTATTTGGCTGGTTCAATCTTGATAGGTGGCTTGGTATGAATTAAACCCTTGTGCAGGGAAGGCTGGTCAAATTAATGTTTCTCAGATGGAAAACTCTGGAGGATCAAGGAAGTCCTCAAAACCGAGAGTTGTTTCTGGAACATCTAGTGAACAGAGCAGTTCTTCATCTGAATCTCTTGCTAACGGGAAGCGAGAGTCAAGTGAATATCATGATAATTATCTGTTGTTAGGCCCCAGGGGAGCTGGTGGTAGGTGGCTTTTTGTTCGCTTTTTCTCTAGTAATTATTGTTGAAGTGTCTCTTTGCAGTTAAAAGAGCATTACCTTTCTAATGTTTTCTGCTTACCATAGCACTGGTCCACTCTTATTTTTGCTGCTTTTGAACTTTCAGGTTCAAATGCCCTTTATCCTGGCGATATAATTCCTTTTACTAGAAGACCACTTTTCTTGATTATTGATAGCGACAACAGCCATGCATTCAAGGCAGGTTTGTCATAACTTTTGTGTGACTTTTTGTATGACTGATTTATTCTTCTGCATTTCATTGTCTGCAAACCAAAATTTGCTGCCTTCTAAAAAACATGCATTTCAGGACCATTTTAATGTCTTAAGTATTTGGTTTTCATGGTTTACCTTAGATGTCTCAATGATTGTATGTAACATACAATTTTGTATACAAAATTATTGATTTAAAATTTGATAGAAGTTATATAAAAGGTTATGGAAAGTTTAAATCTTGTTTACTATGCATTAATATGAACTTGCAAGCCACCAGTTGCCTGGTTCAGGTGATGTCTTTAGCTGTTAAACAGTTAGAACTGAGCGAATTTAAGTATTTCAGTTGTATTTATCGCTGAAGATAAGACATTGGCCATGATGCAGAGGATTCTTCTGGTGGCTGATAAAGCCAATATGAACTAGAAACTATTGCATGTTATCTGGGGAGGAAAATAATGAATGAAATCTATCTCATAAAAGTAATAACTTCTAACTAATTTTGAACAAAACTGTTCATTTCTGTTCTCCAATTGCTCGGAAGGCCCTCTTATCATATTTTCTAGGACAAAATAGTCCTCTTAGTCATTGGAGGGCTTCCTTAAGAGTAGCATGACAGCATAATCAAGTCAATGAAGGTGCAATGGACATGCTTTACTTGGGAGTGTGATGAGATTTGTTTACTTATTCACATAGTTAGGTTGCAAATGTCAGCTACGATTGGCCTCATAGGATAACTTGTGTTTAAATGGGACACTTTTATATCAAGAAGTTCAAATTTTCTTTTTTGCTATTTGTATGAGGAATATGTAAAGCAAAATCTTGTAGGAGTTTTCAACTGCCTACATGTGTGTCCAACCTCAAGATTTTCTGCATTTCATCTTTCAGTCTTCATGGTTCTCGATTACCTGCCAGCTTACTTGTGAATTGTGGATAATTTTCAGGTCTTACATGGTGCAGAAAGGGGAGAGCCAGCTGCCTTGCTGCTTTCTCCCTTGAAGCCAGCATTCAAGAACCTATCTGGTGTTGACAGAACACAAAATGGAAGTCAGTTTACCTTTTTCTTGACTGCTCCCCTACAAGCATTTTGCCAGATGGTTGGCCTCTCATCTGGTGATGCTGATACAGTAAGTTGATCGCATACTGTTTTTGATTTGTATAGGAATCATCTTGTTTGTACTTGGACCCGTTTGCTAAGTGGACTCTTCTTTTAGGATGTTTATAATGACGCTGAGGAGATACTCTCCAATGCCTTCTCTGAGTGGGAAGTTATTCTGTGCACATCAAAAAGCCTGGATCTCGTTTGGGCACAAGTGTTATCTGACCCATTTCTGCGGCGGCTTATTCTAAGGTCTCTCTCTCTCTCTCTCTCTCTCTCTCTCTCTCTCTCTCTCTGTATGTGTGGTGTGAAATCCATTCACTCTCGAATATTTAGGGTTTATTGGATTTAGTTATTCAAATCAGCTGATAGTTGATAACGATCAGCAGATGAATGTTAGTGTTTGATAAAATTTTAGCAGTTATTGCTATTAAAATCTAAAAAGACCATTAAGGATATATAATATATAACACAAATCAGCTATCAGCTGATATGAAAAAACTTTAACACGTGGTTGATGGAATCAACAGCTCGTTGAAACTTATATTAGCTATCAGTTGCTGATCAAAATCCTTACCAAACGCCTAAACTTAGCTATTAGGTACGAATTAGCTATCAGCTGCATGAATCAGTTTGAACGAAATGCCTCTTAGGAGAGGAAGGAGTTATAGGATTTGAATCTCTAACCTCTTGTGCTTCAAGACAAGTATTTGGCCAGTTTGGCCACGAAGCTACTATCCTAATGATCTTATATATTTTATCTCTATGGTAAATTATTGTATAAGTGGAGTAAAGTGGTGTGTCTTTGCTTGATGCAATATGATTGATATTATATTGTCCTTTTCAGACTGAAATCAACTTACTCCTACAATGATATTATTTTAATGATGAAATTGCAGACATTTTCCCCTCTTCAACACAGTCCTTTTTATGAAAAGAATTTGACAATAATTATCTTTTTTTCTCTGATATCAATAGATTTTTTCTAATCAGCTGACACAGGCTTGTTGAATGTGTCACCAGATTTATATTCTGCCGGTCTGTTTTATCTGCCTTCTGTTCTCCAAGAGATAGTGAGCAATATATCCCTGTTTGCCTGCCCCATCTTCCTAGCCCCGTCTCTCCTAGCTCTGATGTTGTGTGTTCAGCTGTCCGAAGACTTGCAAATCACTTCAAGACTGCCCATGACTTTCACTTTGATGACATGTAATTAGGATTACAAAGTATTGAAAGAAGTTAGATGGGTAAAATGCAGGCTTTAGGCACTCAATTTCCATTTATTCAATGAGATAAAACGACAACACAAATTTGGCCAGTTGGCTTTTACGAGCACTTAAACAGCAACATATATAGCGGTGGAGCCTAAACTGGAAAAGTACTGGATTTTCACAAAGCATGGTTGCTTGTGCTTGTTTTATTGCCTTGCCAACCTTTCAGTTTGTGTGCTGAAAATGCATACTGGTTTCCTGTTGTGCTTAGCTGGATGCTTTTTGATTTGCAGGTGTGTAACTATAATTTTAGTTCTTTAGGTGCTGATTGGTGTATAATCTAATTGTTTGTATGCTTTATTAGAGCTGTTCCCAACGGTGTTAGTCCTTTTTTGTACCTTTGTAAAAGAAAATGAGTTAGTCAAAATGGGATGTGTATTTTTTTTTTTTTTTTTCCTATAGTGATAATTATTTCATATGTTACTGGAGAAAGCTGCTAAAGAGGCAGATGTAAATTGAGTACTGAGATTTCGAGAATACCTGGAGAATAGTTGTACTATGTTATAAGCTTGTCATAATCTGTTTTCTTCTCTCTTCTTAACTATCTCTGTTTTCTCCTCATTTCTTTCTAAATATTTGCATTAATCTTTACAATATTAAACTTTGACTCGATCCTACTGGAATTACTATTTTATGGCTATTGAGTTTATATTCTAGTCTGCCTAATAGCTAAAACATTTTGAATTTACTTATTCAATATCCCAGAAAAGAAATATGCACTAAGGAGTAATTGGTGCAAAATATTTTTTCAAGCACAAATCTCTACCTGATCATATTATTATTATTTCAGGTAAAGTTTGCCTAAGATGTAGTTTATTTTTGCTGATCGAGCCGTCGGGTTCCTGATCATGCTATTATTATTTTGTTTTCAGCTCTTTCCTAAGAAAATTAGATGTTTTTCCTGAGAAAGTGAAGGACAGGATTCTGCGTCGATAGAAGCAAGAGACGGCAAATTCATACTTTTGCAAGACAACAGATGGTTTTGGCTGTTAGAAGAGTCTCCCCATTTTCCTTAAGACCAAGTCTGCCATCAAAGATCAAAATAAACAAAAACAACAATGAAGCGATACGCCGGTCAACGTAAGCAGCTTTATATTAACATTATTATATGGTTTTTAAAATTGGAATAATAAAATACTTGAAGCACTCAAGCCATTGGCTTTTCTTACTGGAAAAACCGCCAAATTCGGTTATTCCTACATAACTAAAACCAAACTTCCCTATTTTTTCTCTCTCTACCTCTCATCTTTCTCTCCTTCTAGAATTTCTCCAAGAAACTCGCTATTTTAGAAAATGCAATTAATTCCACTTTTCTCGTCCAAATATATCAACTTGCATGTATATAACCAAGACTACATTCAAAATTTTCCATCCTAAGCTCTTTCTTTTCTTGCATAATTTTTCTTGATCTTTTCTTGAAAGTTTCATATGCATTAGCTCATCCTCCTCTCCTTATAGGTCATATCTCACTTTTGTTTTACCTGTTATCGAGGGAGATTTTGGCCTTGGTAGGTTCTTTTTTTTTTTTTTTTTTTTCCCCATAGGAGTTAAAATTGTGTGCAAAAGTAATTTTTTCAAGCCACAAATCTCTACTGATCATATTATTATTATTTCAGGTAAAGTTTGCCTAAGATGTAAGTTTATTTTTGCTGATCGAGACCGTAGGGTTCGCTGATCATGCTATTACTATGAGAGATTGTTAGTTGTGTGTCTACGCTCATGATCACTGAAATACGGACGATCAGAAACAGCATCTAGATGTGTTTTCTCACTACTGGAGAACACGCTGAAGGAGCATGTATCTAGGAGATGTAGAGTGCAAGAAGTAGACGGCAAAGTTGCTATAGATCTTTTTGCCTAGAGAGAGAGGCAACAGATAGCTTTGTCAGCTGTTAGACCGGTCAGAGTCTAGCTTTGCCCATTTTCCTTAAGACCAACGCTCTTAACACGATAGGCCAATTCAAAGATAGAGAAAATAAACAAAAAGCAAACAATTGAAGTGCGGAGTACGCGCTCGCGGCTGGGTCCCACAGCCGGTGTAAGGCAGACTTTAGTTAGTTGGGAGATGTCACTAATGACGGATACTGGTCTGGTCAGACCTTGGTTTTGGTGATTCGAGTAAGATCGGGGGCAATTACACATACGTAATCCTGGACTACACTTCCGGGTGGCGTCGTTGACCGGGCCGAGGATAGACGTTACAAATGGCATGCGGGCGTAAAGTGGCGAACGCTAGTGGCTGGGTTAGGTGTGGAGCTGCGACAGGAGGGCTGGTAAGGAGGGCAAAAGGCAGGCGGCGAATGATAGACCGGAATTGCACTCCAGTGATGCCAAGGAGGGTGTATGGTAAATGTGTAATAGATAAAATATAAGCTGAGAGCTAAGTACGCATAAGATCCAGTGAGTGCTATGTGTGCTTACTGAAAAACACGCCAAAATTCGGTGTATTGCGGATGCAGTTAGGACTACAGATACACTCGTCGATATATGTATTTCCTCTCTCTACCCTCTAGCATGCTTTTCTCCTTCTAGAATTTCTCCAAGCAAACTCGCTATTTTAGAAAAAATGACAATTAAGAGAAAGCACGTGCGCACCATTATACGCTACGCACTCTATGCATGTATTACATAAGAGCGATTGACTTAATGACAAGAATTCTAGCGTTCACCGAAAGATTGCGTCTAGTGAGACTCTGAGAGTTTTTCCTGCAGTTATTCTTAGAAGTTTATGTTTCATATGGCAAATTTTTTTTTTTTTTTTTTTTTTTAATGGATAATCTAGATGCCTATACTAGCGAAGGACTCGGAGGGTCGATGTGTGCTGACGGAAAATCTGGGTTGCGTTCTGCACATGGAACTACTTAGCTCATCCTCCTCTCCTTATAGGTGTCATATGCTGCACTTTTGTTTTAGCCTTGTTATCGAGGGAGAGTTTGTTTGAGTGCCGGCTCACGCAGTTCTTTTTTTTTTTTTTTTATTCCCGCATTCTTTGGTTGCTTTGTTCATCTTTCTCAATAATTAGATTGTATATATATTATTTTCTTGTATTTGCCTGCTGCATGATGAGATAGGTGATTTTTGCTCTTATAATTTTTCAAGATCTTGAATTCTTCGGATAATCTCTTAGAAGAAAAGTTCTTCATTGGTTGTAAATTCCAATCGCCTCCGGCTGCATGGCAAATCACAGCAAAAAAGAGCTACAACAGCGAACGAGAAGAATTTTTTTTTTTTTTTTTTTTTATTCCCCATTCTTTGGTTGCTTGTTCAATCTTCTCATAATTGATTAATTATATTCTTATTTCTTGTATTTGTCCTCTCATTGATTATTTTCTCTTTATAATTTTTCAGATCTTGAATCTTCGGATATCTCTTAGAAGAAAATTCTTCATTGGTTGTATTCCAATCCCTCCCTGCATCAAATCACAGCAAAAACTACAACCGAAAACCGGAAGAATTTATCTGAGGTAACTATGCTATCCCCTTGTTTGTTGCTAATTCTTTTTCCTATTAATTAGTCTTTGATTAGGGTTCCGAGTATTTTGCTTCAAGAATTAAATTTAAATTGATCAACTTCACGTGTAAGTTAGCTGTTTGTTAATAACTATGGCATAAACAATAAAGATTATATGTCAGTAATGATGGAATTTTGGCATTTGGTGTTTAGAATCCAATTTTAGTAGATTCCAAGATGCAGCATAATGCAGGGCAACTTGAGGAGGAGTTGATGAATATGAAACATAGATTGTCTGTAGTAGAAGAAGAAAGAGATAGGTTTTACGACGAGCTAACAGAGATGAAGAAACTTGCTGATGATGCCAATGGAAGATTATCAGAAGCAATGTCTAATGGAAAAGTTGCTGATATCTATTCAGAGCTAAATTCAGCAATTGAATCTTTATCAAAATCCAATAAAGAAATAAAAGTCAAAGAAACAGCCATTTCAGCTTTGAAAGTTGAACTGGAGAAAGTGAAGGAGTTAGAGTCAAGATTAGCAGACAAAGATTTGTTATTAGAGAAACTAAAAGATGAGTTATGCAAAACTCAATCTTCAGAAGCTCGCGCATTAGAATTGTTGCATAAAAGCAAAGGAAGAGTTCAAGAACTCGAAAGAGAAATAGAGAATGGGAAAGATTCCGCGAGTATGATGTTAGATTCATTAGCAGAAACAAAAATGTTGCTTGAAGAGTCAAAGCTTGAAGGGAATATCAGTGAAGATCGGTTATTACTTCAAAAACAAATAGAGTCTCTTAGATCAGAATTTTGGGTAATGAAAGAATCGGAGAGAAATGCAGTAAATAAAGCAGAAGGCCTAATGAAAGAAATGGAATCACTTAAATTTCAATTGAAGCAAGCAGCAGGAGCAGAAGAGAATAGCCAAAAGGCAATGGAGGATTTAGCGTTTGCATTAAAAGAAGTTGCAACAGAAGCAAGTCAAACTAAAGATAAACTTATAATGACAGAAGAAAAATATGAGAAATTGAAAAGAGAAGCAGAAGAACTGAAACAAAAGTTAAGGCATGTTGATGATAAACACAAGCATGTATTAGAGGAAGTGAGAGCAGAAGCTGAGCTTTATAAAAATACTACTGATAGATTGCTATTAGAGGCAGAAGAGACCCTTGTTGCTTGGAATGAGAAGGAAACAGGTCTAGTAGATTGTATAAAAATAGCAGAAGAAGAAAAAACAGCTTTAATAGAAGAAAACAATAAACTTCTTGAAGCACTTAAAGCAGCAGAGACCATAAACAAAACAGCAAAACAAGAAAACCAGAATTTGCGCGACATTCTTAAACAAGCAATTAATGAATCTAATGTTGCTAAAGAAGCTGCAGAAATTGCAAGAGTTGAAAACTCACAACTTAAAGATTTATTAGCAGAAAAGGATGATGCTTTAATTTTCATTACTCGAGAAAACGAAAATCTCAGAATTAATGAAGCTAGTGCAAATGAGAATATTAAAGAGTTGAAGAGACTCCTTGAAGAAGCCTCATCAGGAAAAGAGATCAAAGCAGGAGAAGATAATAATAAAGAACAACCGCCACCACCACAACATCATCATAGAGAAAGAAAGTTGAGTAATGCTTTTAGCATTAATTTGAAGGATCTGATAATTAGTTCTAAGTCTAAAGATACACCTGATGATGTAAAAGTTTCTGAAAGTAAACAGAATGACCAGACAGATGAAAACGATGAATTGGAGAATATTGATCCTTTGAAAGGATCAATATTTGATGTTGATTCGCCTGTAGGAGCACCACCACCACCAGCAGAAAAGAATCACCATCACCATCACCATCGGCGAAAATCATCAACTTTCACGGATGATGCAGAAGGGATAAATCCTGAGGAATTGGAATACGTAGAAGGAGCTCATAATGAAGAAGGGGAAACAGAAAAGAACCCAAAGAAGAAGAAAGCATTGTTGAGGAGATTTGGAGATATTATAATAAGAAGAAAAAGTGTGCATAGAAGGGATTCATCCATTGGAGGTGATGCTCATAAGAAGGAACTAGCAGCTATTGCTAATGAAGCTAATAAAAAGGAAGGGTCAACAGCTGGTGGTGGTGAAGGTAATAAACAGGAAACTAATTCTTCATCTACAGGTAGTGATGGCCAGAAAAAAGAGAATTCTCCTGCTGGTGATCAAACTCACAAAAAGGAACCTTCACTTGGTGAATGATTTTCTTTTTTCTTTTTTATAATTCTTTTGTATTTGATTTATTATTATTTTTTTTTTTTAGTAAAAGTTCCAGCAGACAATTTATAATGTGAATTACATCTTTTAAAATGTTACTTCAAATGTATATGTACAATTTGAACAATAGTATCAAACAAGGGTTGTTAGTTAAAAACAAATATAAATAAATGCAAACCATTTGCACGTTGACTCACCAAATTGACGAAAATAACTATGATCGAGAAGATTCAACTCGAAGGCTTTTATTCTTACTCTTCACATAAATAAAAAAACTAATCAAATTATCACTGATTGGCACCTTAGGCTATATTTGTTAAGTCATAATGAAACATAATTTGATGTAATTAAATACATTTGTTGTAAGCATTACATTAGAAGTCCATTTAATTACTCAATTACAACTTACCAAACATTGCCTTAGATTAGACTTAATAATAATAATAATAATAAGTCTTATAAATCTGCTAAAATAATTAAACTAATTTTACCAAACAGATATTTTCACGAAGCCACATTCGGATCCAAGGAAAAATGGGCCCTCTCTGAAATGTTTTTATTTAAAAAAAAATATTTGAATAATTTTTCTTTAAAGAAAAGTAACCTTGATTAGCTTTTATAATTTTATTTTTTTTAATTATCAATTATTGATTTCTCCTAATGCAGTATGATTTAGGAAATTTAATAAATTAATTTTGGCGTACGGTATACAACTTATATGCATAATATTCAATCTAGTTATAATCTCTAATAAATTAATTAATTTATAATAGAAAGCATAAATATTTAATTGTATGCAATGGCGGTGTTTTATATTATAGTTATGGAATGATAATTTAAAAAAAATAACCATTGCAAAATTTCACTTATCATCTATCAATAAAATTATTCAATCAATATGTTCATCTAGTATTTTTTAAGTCGTTATTTAAAAACTTGAAAGGTATCTATGTGTAAGTATTGATAATAAGATTAATATAAATAGATTTTAATAAAAGAAAAATAGGCTATAATTATTATATTTAATAATAACAGTTTATTTTCCTTTTTAAGGAATTTTTATCACTTATATTTATTTTACGTATATTATTTTTATACATTATATGTTTTAATTGGGTCATTTTTGTTTTTACACGTAAATAACAAGACAAAACTGTATATAGCTACTCAATGAATACTCCTATAATCACTCATCAATCAAATCAAAAAGACAGGCTCAAATCATGTCCATCGGAACTTTCAGTCCTTTACATGATGAACAAACTTTTTTTAATTTATTTTTTAGAATTTCTGATTGATTTGTTAAGTAAAATAAATATAATAAGTTTTAAATATTTTTATCTTTACGATTATAGATAATTTAATTAATATTTAAAAACATGCATTTGCATATGTTACTTTCATTTTGTAATTTACTAATAATGATTCTCATTGTTATTCTAATTCCCTGTAAAAAACAATTAAACACAATAATTAAATAAAACATAGATAAAACTATACAAAAACAGTAAATAACTAAATAAAATATTTACTATAATCTTTCATATTTTGTATTTTCTCTATAAACTTTGAATAAAAATATTCTTGAATTCGAAATTTGAAAAAAATAATTTATAAATTTTAATTTTATTTAATTAATGATATATATTGTTTCATTTAATATTAATGTGAAAAGTAAATTAATATTAATGTATTGAATTTAATATTAATGTGAAAAACAAAATATGAAATATGTTTCATTAAAAAATATAATATTGAGTTTATTGGTTTAATATTAATGTGAAAAGAAAATTTAATTTAACATTAATACAAACAAAACGTAAATAAATAGATACATCTCATTATGTTAAGATTTTAAGATTTTATTGTTGGATTTAGCAACTTATCCATAACTTTTAAAAGTGAATTAAAAATTTTTCTTGTTAAATTTTTTTAATTTTCTTTTAAAGCTTTTAATTGAGTTAATATTTATATAATGTTTGTCATTCTTTAAATATTTTTTTAAAACAAAAAAATTTTAAATGTTAAATGAGTATTTAGAAAGGTTGAGATATTAAAAGTGTAATTATAAATAAATTTCAAATGGATTCAGATAATAAAAATAAATTTTAAATTAGTTCGAAACCTAATTTATATAGGAATTCAGATTTAGATTGTCTATTTTAACAGTTGTACCAGAAAAATGGAAAGACTTTTTAAAAAATGTTTCTTCAATGCTAATGTTTATTTGGTATACTACGTCGAGGTGTCAAAAAAAAAATAAATGGACACTCTTAAACAATGTAAATATTAATTGTTCAGTAGTGATTTGTTGCATATCGAATTCTGGGCTCGAAAAAAGAAAGACAAAGAGGATGAGAAATGATTCAAAACTAGTGCATTGCAAAGAGATTTTTAAAATTCAACGTCTATAAATATATTAAGCCACATTACTATTCATAACTTCTATTTCATATGATACATCAACTATAATTCACATTCACATTGGAGATGCTTTGATATAATTGTGCCATGGTTCTGAAACCATCAGTTCCGTTGTAAAACCAATAGTTCCGGTTCCAAATAATGTGGAATCGAAATTGAACCGGAAATTGATGGTTCCAGTTTAGAACCGGTCGGTTATGATTTCAATTTCGATTCCTTAACGATTCCAAAATCAACAGTTCCCGATGGTTCTCCAAATAGTTTTCTAGCGATTCGCATAATTTAAAAAAAAAATCTAACTTAAATAAATTTCCTTAATATAACTTGACGTTATATAGTTGTTTAATGTTGTTAGGAGGGTTAATTTGGAGATTTTGATAAAATTTTTTGAAAAAATAAAAAGATGTGTTAAAACCGGTCGGTGGTTAACGAGTTGTCAAAATCTTCGGTTTCGGCCTATTCTAAAAAACTTAGAACTGAAATCGAATCATAACCCTCTTGGTTACGATCTCGGTTCTAATCGGTTCCAGTTCCGTGCATTTTCAGTTCTGATTCTTTTGATAAAATTTTTTGAAAAAATAAAAAGATGTGTTAAAACCGGTCGGTGGTTAACGAGTTGTCAAAATCTTCGGTTTCGGCCTATTCTAAAAAACTTAGAACTGAAATCGAATCATAACCCTCTTGGTTACGATCTCGGTTCTAATCGGTTCCAGTTCCGTGCATTTTCAGTTCTGATTCCAATCAGTTTCGAACCCACAGTTCCAGACCAACAGTTCTGGTTCCCAAAATTGAAATTTGGTCATCCCTACTTTGATACCTACTTATATACTCCTTCCGTCCCAAAAAGATAATCTATATTTTCTTTTTGGTTTGTTTCAAAATATAATCTACTTTCCTTATTTGCATTATAGTTAATTTTAAATTATTTACTATACCTTTATTTTTACCTTATTTTCAATAATCCTCATTAATTCTTAGTTAGTACTCCAATATAATAATTACTCATGTATTTTTTAAAATGAACGTAATAAAAAAATTATATAAATAATATTATCCTTTAACTATATTTTTTAATCTGCGTGAAAATAAAAACTGTATCATATTTTTATAACGGAACGGGCAACTTAATTTTACTTTACGTTTATCCGTTGATAGAACCGAGCCCCCACTATAAGTTAACTGTGGATTGACACAATCAGAAACCGTGTCTCCGACTCTGGTTTGGGTTGAGTTAACTTGTCAAAAAGCGCCAACGGTATAAATCATTTACCTAAATCTATTGTATTACCTTATCCACGCCGGGCCCATCTTGTTCACTAAGTCCAGGAAAAGTAATAATTATTAATTTCACTTTCTGTCCTCCAATTACTCATTACTTTCACGCGACGAATGTTTTTGTTCCCACTCCAATTTTTTAACTTTTATTAATTTAATTAATATTCTCATTACTATTGTGTTTTGTCGATTAGCAGTTATTTTTGTGTTATTTATATAAAAAACCTTAAATTTTCTTTTATTAGTTATTTTGATCTTTATTATCTTAAAATTAACAACGAATGTGAAATTTTTAAAAATTAATAGATAGAAAATGAATTAAGCCACTGTTCACATTTTTCTGAAATTCTTTCATTAATTTTTCTCTAAAAATTCCATTTCTTTCCGGATAGTTTAGCCAAAATTGTAAACTTTTTAACGAGTTCAGTTTAATAGATATTCATTCAATTGAAATTTTGATCTCGATCATTTTAAAATCCATCGCCAATGTAAGATTTTAATTTGAGAAATTAAAGAATTCTAACATAAAGTTTAAATGCTTTTAAAACTTTTAAAAAATATACAAACATATTGTTATTAGATTAATAAAATTCATTTATATTTCTCTTCAAAATTTATCACAAAGTAAGAGGGTTTTACTTTAATATAATTCATCTCATTACCTTAATATGAAAACTATGTTTATAAATCAAGAAAATAAAAATTATTTAAAATTTTTAGAAGCTAAATTTTTTTTTTTGTAAACCACCGATATTCGAACCATATACTAAGGACCACTAATTCAGCACACAGCTTAGTCACAATTAAGACACTTTGCTGCTTTCTGCAGGTGCATTTAGTAAAAATTAAATTCGAGAATTCTTTTCATATATCTAGTCTGCATTGTCAATTAAGCCATAACTCGTAGATTAGAAGCTAAAATTATTAAAGTTCGTGTTAACACAATTTTCAGAGTTGTTTTTATTACCAATTTTTAGTTTAAAAAAAAAAAGAGGGAGAACTTTTTTTGATTGGACAATTAATAATCAATCATTTGACATAAAACAACAATTAGAATAAATCCCATGTGCGCATCCTTACAATTTGTCGTTGGACGATTGATATTCTATATAGATATTTTTGCTAGGAGTCTGATTCTACTAGTTGCTTTCACATTTCTCCGTCCAAAACGTTACATTAATCAGATGGGCCCACAAATCTTAAATCCTCCAATGGGGCCCAGCCCATCCCACCAGAAACAAGGAACGTGACTATCATGCTATCCAACGGTTTATATTATTACAAGACTAATATTGTTGCGATACACGTGTCACTATGCCGTGTGTACGAACGTGTCTTCGTGTTGTGCACCGCTCTTATATACGAACCATGGTTAAACACCCAAACGGCATCATTTATCTGTTTTCTTCTTTTCGTACACTAAAAGGCTCTACCGGAAAACCATAGTTAGTAAGAAAGGAAGCGAGGAAAACCATGTCTTCTGCTATAGAGTATACTTCTCAAGACAGTCATAGCCATGAAGATAACAACAACGAACGGCTAGATTTGAATTTAATACTCCAGATGAAACCATCGGCTTCAAATTTGTGGCTTCCTAAAGAAACGTTTCTCAGAGCAGCCATTTCCCTTAAAAACAAGGTTAGTCTGAAAAACCAGGGGTGCGTAGGTTAAATTTGTGCCACTCACTGTGCGTACGTTAGATGAGTTGAAATATTTGCGTTTTTAGGTGGTGGAAATGACGTGGAACGGAAGTTGCAGTACGGATAGGAGTGCGGTTGTTGACTCGACAGTTTATTCGGGTTTACTGGGAACGGCTTTCACCTGTTTACGCTCGTATGAGTTTACAGGTAACCAGCAAGATTTGTTATCATGCTCTGAGATCGTCGACACGTGTGCCGCTGCAGCACGTGCATCATCTAGGTAATATCTGATTGTAATTTTGATGGTTGTTTTATTTCAATTTTGTGATCATGATATGGTGGCACGTCAAGTCGAATTGATTACGTTATTGCTGTGGGCGTGACTTGATTGCTTTTTTGGTGAATTATCTTGCAATTTATTTGGTGGTGAGGCAATTAAATGTAGGCATGGCCACCGATTCGGTTCTAATCGGAACCGAACCGTACTGTAAATGAATTGAAATATGACCGAAATCGGTGGTTCAAAGGCCGGTTAAGGTTCATGTGAATGTTAAAATATGAATCGGAACCGGTCCGGAATCGGCGGTTAACCAGCGGTTCCAGTCCGGTTCGAACCGGATGCACAAAAAATTGTAGCTTAAAATTTTTATAAAAAAATTTATATCACTTGATTTGATTGTAGTTGATTTAAATTGACCGAAATCGGTGTCTCTTAGAAGGGCCGGTTAACCGGTCTCATGGTTGAATGGTTAAAAATATGAATCGGAAGGGGCTGGGCTCGGAATCCGAGCCGCCGGCGGTGCTAACAGCGGTTGCTTTCCAGTCCGGTTTGCACGACCGGATGCACAAGACCCTATGTGAGACTTAAAATTCGTTTATAACTAGAAAAATTAGTCATCACTTTGAGTATGTGATGCTGTTTAGTCGCTTGATTCTATGGGCAGGCGGGACACCAATAGAAGTAAAATGGGGCAGTACATAGTAGTTAGGTGGGACTAGGCTTCGTCGAAAGAGATACACATTTTTATGACTTCACACATTCCGTGATATAAAAATGGGGGGCTGATGCATTACCGATCCAGTTGAGTTTATATATAAATATCGAAGTAACTTTCAAAATGTACATTACACAAAGAGATAGCTGTTACGTGGATAGTGTTTGATATGAGTGCATGTGTTTCGTTTTATCTCCTATCTTATGCCGTTGATTAAGAGCACTAGACCTTTTAGTTGATGTTGTAAGCTCAAGTTTATTTAGTTACGGCCGGTTTAGCCTTGGTGTAATTTAATAATTACCTCAAGAGGAATACTCGTGGGTTATTTGTCTTTACTGTTAGTGCCTATTAATTGCGGCGACAATTTGAGTCAACGCTTCTTCTTTTGGATAAATTTCTGCACGGAACAATGTATTATAGATACTGTTATGATGTTTGTTGATGATCTTTCTCTTCATTTCTCTACGTTCCATACTTGACGTCTCATACATCTTCCGCATTCTCTTGTGATTTTTCTCATTTTATTCTTTTCAATATCATAATTCTGCATACTCTAAATTTCTTTATCGTGATGTTCATATATTTTTTAATTAGCTTTATTATATTATCATCTCAATTTAAATTATTTATTGGTAATTTTAGTATCGTGAGACTTTGTTTATCTCTTGGATGTGTTTATGATGCTCTCTGTATCGCGCTATTTCAATCGGTTCGTTATACTGTTACTGATCTACATCTGATTTTCTCTATATTTGCTTTTATAGATATCATGTTTACTTTCTATATCTTTTGATTTTTTTTACTATACTTCCAATTTTCTTTCATCTATTTGTTAGGCAATATAATAATTGCTTTCCACGTTACTTTCTTTTATTATGCTATATTAATTTGCTTATTTGATTTACCAACTTAATACTAATGAATTTATAGTATATTAGTATATAATATTTCAGGCAATAATTTGTAAATTTCAGATTAAATGTATAGTAAATGATTTCTAAGTTAGTTAATATGACAGTTTTCTTTTAAAAATTTATAAATACATTTAATTTAACGGCTTATTCTTAATATCAAATTTAACAAATATTGCGTTTATAGAAACAATAGTATAATTCAATAATATTATCTCGTGATTATCTCATCGCCATGAATTTCTTGATATATTCGAAAAATTGGTCTCTATTAATGTATTATATTTTTAAATTAAATTTAGTGGGCTTAACGTACTTGCCTCTCTCGCCCGTTTTGGGCACCATTGCTACGTTCGTGCCCAAACACGCTTTGGGATTTTGAACCGTGCTGCAATTGGTTTTTTATTATGAACCCGTTCTCTTGGACACAATAATGGCTCGAACTCTATATGCAGAGCAAACCGTGTGAGGCTTCGAAGTGGTGTCGAGTATATCGCCTGTGTGAGTGTGTTAATATTTTAATTTGAACTACCTCGCTGCCTCTGTGACCAGGATTTTCAGCTTTACTTGTTATTTCGGCGCAAATCGTGCGGCATTGATCATCCCATCGTTTTGGCACAAACCTTGAACATTAATAGACGTCAACGTATTTAGTTTTAGCCTTCTTAAAAATTCTTTCCATTGTTTTGGGGTTCAATTCGTGGACTCTTGCCAACTATCATTTATACCATTTTTTTGGTCCGAAAAACGGATTGCTTATCGATCACCTGTTTGGCATATTCAAGCTGAGGATTTTATATTCATAGACATGTCGGGGCTCATGCATATCCTGCTAATTATGACCCTATAGTGTCATTTTTGGGCGCGTTCCCTCAGACCCAACCATAAGACGCCTTAAGTACTCAAATGAGTGTTGCTGAAGAGCGCCTTTCATCTCCACACTCCCTAATCTTGTTTGGCGTCCATACCAGCCCTACTGTTCCAGGGACATCGACCCAAGATCCCACTGTGGTGTTATTCCACCTCGATGCAACATCATTATAGGTCCACCCTCACATACCGCCTATCGTGTTTTGGCAGACTCGAGTCGAATCAGAATGTTTTGTGCTGAGGTAAGGGCTCGGTGAATGGGATCATGCAACGAACCCTTTGTGAGCTCGCTCTCCTCTCGCGGAAACTGTGAATCAGAGTACGAAGTCATTTTGGGCGAATAACTATGCCGGGTTACATGACATCATGTCTGGACAAGGGAGCCTGCGGCAGATATCCATGTTAATCGCGCCCTACCTTTCAAGCAGCTCACTGCCGCCTCTAAGGGGCCGGTCGACTGAAACACTGTTGACTTGGTCTTTCCTTTTCCCCAAGCGAGCCCTGTCATTTGGCTCCGAGTACGTGGCACGTTCGGGGTTTCACCGCGCTTAGCGCTCTTGCGGTGGGGACAGTCACAGTTCACCCACTAAGGGTGTATTCATCTCTATTTGCAACTGCGATCTCCATTACTCTCGCTCCTTGATTGTGTGGCTCATTTCAGGGAGCATGAGCCCCACGCTCATGTAGTCTTCGGATCCAGTCGGGACTCAGGTGTCTCGCTCCTGGCGTGTTACTTGGGGAGTACCTAATCTTCGCTTTTTGCACGCGTAGAGCCTTATGTCATGGGTTAATTAACGAAATGGAGGATTGGGTTTGGTATTTTAGTGGCTCCTCTATAACCTCAATATAGTGGTCTTACAGAATTTAACGCCTTATCCGCTAACACCGAGTCCAACCCCACGTCAAGGTTGAACGCGGTGGAGGCCTACTGCGTATTCGCTGGCTCTCTTTTCAATTGTTATCCTTGGGTCCCTTTAGCCGTTATATGTGTTCAGCCAAGGAAATGTTTTTGATCGCGGCAGGTGGACCGATTCCGCTCCCTTTTCGAGCTCGCCCTCTCAAACTGGGGACTCGTGCATGGATGTAAGTTTCTGGGCACTTAAGCTAATCGGGTCCTCTACCTAAGATTCTCGTAGCAAGTATAATCTCAGGCGTTTATAACTTTCTGGCGAGCAAACACTTTTGTTTCTTTGTTTATGCTTCATACTCCCGGCAGTTGCCCCCTTAGGACTAGTTAGCGCCATTATCACTTTCTCTCTTACCTAGGGACTGTGGTGTGGTTATTCAGTCAGTTAGATTGTTCACTGTTTGCCAAAATTTGCACCTTGTTGTTTTATGATGTAGCCTTGGGCCAACGGTTGCTCTTCTGTTACATCGCACTGGTGGAACTGATTGATCACTGATTGGTGTCCTCTCTCTTTGTTATCGAGATTGGGCCGCTATGTGGTGCACGCTGCTTCGAACCGTCTGACATAAGAACGGCGGCCAGGGGGGTTCTCTTTTGTGGACTGGCAATACTCGCTTCGGAACGGGCAGCCAGGCGGTTCCCTGAGTTCGTTCGTGGTAGCTCGTGCTATCTTTTGGGGAATGGGCGCCGGCTACCCTGGAGCAGTGAGAGCGTACGTGTTCAGCAGGAGTACCTGCTTGTGCATTAGCCACTCTTGCGTTTGTGTGTGCATGTGCGTGTTATATGGACGTTAATATTCCTGATCCTCATGGCTAGGCTCAAGGGGTCCGTTAATAGTCTGTTGTATGTTGTCGTTGTCTGTCCTCTAGACCTGTGATATAATAGAACTCGTTACCGCTCAATGGTACGATTATTTCGGTTAATTAAAAGTTAATAATTTAATAATTCACTATTACCAGAACTGAGTATTAGCTTCTGGCCTCAAGACTAATTTCTATCTCAGCCTATTGGATAATCTGCTCGTTATCAAATATACAAAACGCAGAGAGATAAATGGAGAAGCTCGCACGGGACACGGTGATTCTTTGTATTTAAAGATACATTTAAATAATTTTCGTGAATGTCTCGGGACATGAAGAGAATCTAGTACATCGCCGATATTTTTGATGGTTTTTCTATCTCGCCATATCAACCGTGCCTAATGAGCTATACCTGTGCCGGATTACCGGGTCACATTTACACATAATGAGTAACCTTGTGCGCACCAACCTCGGCAATAATTTTCTACTAAAGTATACGAGATCATTAGGATGTCATAAAAAGCAAGATTTCTCACAACATTAAGAATGGATCGTTAGTTTGGCGTGATTCAACATCTAAAATTGCATTTTGGAATAACAAACAAATGGAAAAGCGATTAAAGCAGCTCTACGACAATGATATGAGATCTCTTGGCATTGCTCCTATATTATGCTGCCCTTTTCCCCAATTTAGGGAACCCTTTCTAAAAATTTTTCTATCAGTTGCTTAATTGTGTTACAAGTCTCATGGTCTGAGTAATGTGTTTTGTTGGGGTCACGCTTGACAGAGTGGGAGT